TGGATGTTAGATGGTAGAGTTGTTATCATTATTCCATAGTTAAACCAGAGCCAGGGGCAGCGTGAAAGCAAGCTGGTGTGACAGTAGGACAACTCCCATTCTTGGAGAAACCCAAGGTAAGGCTAGATGAGGCTTTGAGCACCTGATTGAGCTGTAGGTGTCCCCATTCATTGCAGGGCAGACTTTTAAGGGTCCCTTGCAACTCAAATGATTCTATGATTCTCCACTGAGAACCAGGAGAGAAGAGGGCAGAAGGTCCATGCTGTTAAATGGAAATGGGCAGCCTGCATATCAGCTGGATAGAGGTCTTTCTCTTATTCCTTGTACTTGTGCCCAGGCCAGCAGCAGTGCATCCAGCAGGAATTTTGCCTGGACATGTGGAAGAGTGCCTGAAGGAAAACAGGCTGAGTGCTTTCCAGCTCATATCCTGCAAAACCCACAGGGGTGGGCAGATGCTCCAGGAAAACTGCCCCATAGGATATGAAGCAGCAGCCCTCTTCCTCACCTCAATGTCCCCATTGGCACCTGGATCAATGAACAGTTGATCAGACCTCATGTGGAAACCAAGCACAAGCCCAGTGGAGAAGGAGCGTGTCCCTCCAGGAAGATGGCTCCCTCCCTGCTGCAGAATGTGGAATACTGTTTTGCTCCGAGCGTGCATAGTTTGTGTGGGTGTAGATTTACATTTTGTTAAGGAAAATGAAAAAAGGGGGCTGGTTTCAACTAGCCTGCAGTTTTATTATTTGCAAGAGTCCTTGCCTTCATGTGATGTTTTACGTAACGGCCTTACACATCTGCAAAGTATGTAAAGCATTTCCACTGTTGGGAAGAAGAAAGAAGGGGAGGAGAATCTTGAAAGGTATTGTATCTCCCGGGAGGATTTTACAAGGAATTTTTAGCTCCCACCAGGCAAGAAAACAGAAGTCACTGTGGATCTGTTCTCTAGAGCAAACTTTCTCTAGCCTTGTAGAAGCTCAGACCACATTCCCTGTGAGGACCACAAAGTATGCTTGAGAACATACCCGATAACAGCTTCAGTTCAGAAGTAAAAACCTAAACTGAGATGCACTGAGTGGGAATAAAAGCAGCAGAAAGCTGGGATGTGCATCCTGATCTCAATGAGAAACAATGGAAGGACCTGACATTAAGAAATGACAAGGCTTGGGGAAGAGAGTTGTTGTCATGGGCAGTGTGAGCAGCTGCAGAGCTGAAGGGAGCGGAGCTGAGGGCTACTTTCCTGTCCTACATCACCTAAAAGACGTGAATGAGCACACTCTTTTAATGCTGGTTATTACCCTATCTGATAGTGGAAATCTGGTGTAATGTATATACATGTAAGGCTGTGGAAAAAAAAGTAGCAAAAATGTTATGAATACCTCCAAGGAGGGTTGGAATGAATGAAAAATGTTTGAAGCTGTTAAGTGCAAAGTCTTGTAAGTCAGTACATCCACTTTTCTTTGGCTTCTGAGTCTGGGTGGACCCAAACCACAAAGAAAAGAGGAAACAAAGGTGGAGTAGACATTGAGAAAGATCTTTCTAAAACTTGGCATTAAAATGTACGAGCTTCCAACCACTGCTCAGCCCACGTATTGTGAAGTAATTGGAAAAGGGCTGGAAAATCACTGCAAAGTGCCTTGATATGCAGAGGGAGTTTTGTTTGTTTCTTTTCCTCTGGAGTTGCTTTAGAACTAAGTGTCACCAAGTGCTCCTTCCACTGTGGTCTCCTCTAAAATGATCTGAAAAATGACAGGGAAAGTAGGGCTGTTTGGTTCAACTCTTCTTCTGCTTTGCATTCGTCTCCATTTGGAGATGTGTCATAAATGCTAAGACTTCCAATTTTGATGGACTCCAAGATTGTGAGACTCCTTCAGAATAGAAACTTGTAACCTTGTTACACAGAGCTTATGAGAGCCCATCATTTGGACACAATCCTACAAGTACTTCCAACAGTGAGAACAGATTACTTCTGAGAGCATTTCCCCTGTTTAAAACACCGTGCAGTCAGTCCTGGCTCATCACGTCTCAGGGGCATAAGACCATCCAGATCTCATCTGTCAGTTCCCTATGGACATAGGAGACAGGAGACAGCAACCAGCCTCTGGAATCTATGCTGGGGTGACTGTGAGCCTCCCAGGCATGGCACAGAGTTCATTCCCCTACTCCCTGTCAGGGCTGTAGCTCCCTGAGGAGGGCAAGCAATGCAAAGAATGATATTTCCTCTCTGGGTTTCCTTAGGTCACTAATTCTATCTCATAAAAGCCACCTCAAAACACTTTGCACTGCTCCCTTCCTTTCTCTGTCTGCACATTCTCTTGGCTGGGAGCCACTCACCAGAAGCCTTACCTTCTCCCAGTTGTGTGCTTGATTCATTTTCTGTTTTATTTTTTTTTATCTTCTACTTCTTCCTTCTGAAGCATTTACCCCTCAGCAGAAATATTTGCATTACTAATCTACCTCAGGTCTTTTTTACTGCTGCCCATCTAGCAGCACCTGATCTTCTTCCTTATCGCTTTTCTCTTTATTACTTACCCCTAATTTATACAGCACCAGCTTCAGAAATCTCTACCAGAAACATACTGCAAGGAGAAACAGCCCATCACCTGAGGACTCAGTGACTGCAATGGCAGATGGAGGACTGGCACGCAGAGGGATCGACCACCATGCCTGCACTCCTCATCTGCATCACACCAGTGTCATCCTCGCCCCTGACTGTTACATGATGATGGAGAATGACACTGACAATATAATAGAATCACAGTCAGGAAGGTTGGAAAAGATCACTAAAATTATCTAGTCCAACCTCAGTCCATCCCTACCATGCCCACTGAGCATGTTCCTCAGTGCTCACAGTTCTTGAACACCTCCAAGAATGGTGACTCCACCACTTCCCTGGGCAGCCTGTGCCAGTGCATAACCACTCCTTCTGAGAATAAATGTTTGCTAATATCCAACTTGTACCTCCCCTTGTGCAACTTCAGGCCATTTCAGGTTCTCATTCTATCACTGTTACCTGGAAGAAGAGGCTGACCCCAACTCCTTACAACCTCCTTTCAGGGAGTTGTAGAGAGTGATCAAGTCTCCCATGATCTTCCTACAGACTAAGCAATCTCAGGACATTTCACTTTGCATGCAGGAGGGGCAAGAGGAGCCCTCTCCCTGCCAACCCACCCAGCAGCACTGTCCTCCTGTCCTGCTGCAGGGTCAGATCCTCCACAGGAGCTGCATCCCAGCATGAGCACACTGCAACTCATTCAGCTTTCAAAAATGATTTGCAGAGCACAGTTTTTACCGTTTGACCTTTGGGTCGCAGCCTTTCCCCATTGTGCACACACACCATTCTTTCGCAAAGCAAACAGCCATTTTTCTTCACTGAAGGGATAAAGGCAAAAATTTACTCCCAGAGAGAAAGGGGAACTTTTCCCATCCTTTTTACTGCCCTTTTGTGATGCTGGCACTAAGCCAACTCGCTGTGTTTTTACTTTCTTTCCTACAGATTTGTGAATTTTATGGGGTTTTTTTCCCATGCAGCTCCAGAGAAAAAGGATCACCTTGTCTTAACATCCTGTTCACTAAAGCCCTAGAAAGGTGAATCAAATATATGACAGAGAGATTTTATAAGGATCGAATACCCACTGTATCTTAGCACAGTAATAGCCTGTTAAAATTCTCTTTGCTATCATATCTTCGGAAATATGAAAGGAAAATCTTTCAACAGCCTCATTCCTCTGACTCCAATCTACATCATGTTGAGAAGGATAGGTGCCAGATAAATGCATTGGTGGAAACAAAGATAAGAAGGATGTGCATCCCATCAACAGTTACATAGCCTGAATTATGTTCTAAGACAGACACAGTGACAATAACAGGACAGTGTTAATAGAGTGATTGGTTAAATTACCTGCCTGGTATCTTTCAAAGAGATCAGGTTGCATTTCATTGCTGGAAAATTCCTAATCAAGAACAAGTGCATTATCTCAGAATCTTCCATCTGACAATACAACACAGTGGACAATCTCACAAGAAGAAGTTAATTTAAGTGGTGCCTTTGTGCACTTCAAAAAAGGGGTTGGGTTGAAAATAGGACGTCAAAGTCATCTCTCTGCTGAAAAATAGAATGATAATTCCAAGAAGTTTTCAATGTTTTGTTTCTATCTGCTCTTGGTGTATCTTTAAGACAAAAGATTTGTGCCTAAGGTGCAATTCAACATTTTTGCTTTGATTTCTATTTTTTTCATATTCCATCAAAGGCACCTGAATCTCTCTTCAACCCACAGCTGGCACATTGGTTTCAAAGCCAGTAGAATTACTTCTAGGCATGATAGAAACTTCTTCCACCTGTCTGCCCTAAGAGCTTCACACCTGCAATGCCACTCCACCTGGCATTCACCCATTGAGTGTTTGCTCTGCATCTTCAGAAAAATAAAATCTACCTAGACATGCCTTGAACAGTGACAGTGTCTCCTCAGAGCACCATGCCCTGAGAAGGGGATTCTTATGAGACTGTGTTACAACTTCCATCAGTGTGCTGTAAGGAATGGAACAAATACAGCACTTCTTGTGGGAGAGTCATAGAATCATAGGATCGTTTGAATTGGAAGAGACCTATAAAGGCCATCCAGACTGGCTCCCCTGCAGTGAACAGCAACACTTACAGCTCCATCAGGTACTCAGAGTCCTGTCCAGCCTGACCTTGAGTCCTGGTCTCCCAAGCCAGAGGCTGCACTGTGGTCCCACCTCGTGTTTAGGGCCTCTCCAATCAGTGTATTGTTGGTTTTCATAGGTCCTTGTTCTTGTAGATTGTTGGTACAAACTATTTCAGAGATCCTTGGCTAGAGAGAGCAGAGAAAGTAGCCCTTCTTAACCCAGTTTACTTGACAGTTTCCATAACAACTTGACACAGCTATTTATATAGCTGGGAATATCATTTGCGTTTCATCATTTTTAGAACCTTTGTTGCCATATCAACGTAACTGCCATGTACAGCCCCATTCAATTCTCTCTTGTTTTCTCAGAATCTTCTCTCTCAATGAACTGAAATTCAGTTGGGCTCAGAATGGCCCCTGAGAGGTCCATGTGCCTCTTACTATATTGTTCAATCCCTAATTAAATAGGCTTGTGCCTATGTGACCTATCTGCAGCACAGCAGCGGGCAGCCTGATCTGGTGGGGGCATCCAGTGCTCGGCAGAGCGTTGGAGACAGATGGGATTTAAGGTCTCTTCCAAGCTAAGACATCCTGTGATTCTATGACCACCTATAATAGGATGGCAAGATGAGGACAGAGCAGACAGTCAGACCAACAATGATTGCAGGTTGCCCACTGTAGTGGAAATGCAGTCATGGCTTGGACCAGTGATTGAGCACCTGGTGGGAAAGCAGGATCCACACAGGGAAGCTCAGGTGCAACCAATGCACCAGAGTGAATGGAAGGGATGGAACCAAGATCCACCCATTCCCAGACCTCATTTAAGGGCTGGCACTGGAGGTAAGGGTATCTTGTTGGAGATCTCTGTGTACTTGAGGCCTTATAAAGGTAAGCAGGTTCTTTCTGTTGTTTTTATGTCCACAGCTGCTGTATCTGAGCGTATCCTTGCTTGTTGCAGCCTAGGACTTTGCTACTATCCTGTCATTGCTGTGCTTTCCCTTGTGTTATAGTATTACAGCTGTGTCTCTTAGTAAGCAAATAATCAGAGGGGCATAGAAGCTGCTGGCTTTTTCTGACATGGACAGGAAGGGAAAGAATTAATCTTGAAATGCCTGTTTCAAAGATTTGGTGTTAGTATTCCTGAGTCAGCATTCTAGAGAGGAGGGCTGCATGTTGAGGGATGTAGTTTAGCAAGCATCATAATGATGGTTTGATGGTTGAACTAGATAAACATAGTGGCCTTTTCCAAGCTTAATGATTCTACAATACTAAGATTCTATAACCAAAAAGCAGAGTTCAGATGGGAGGTGGGCAGGCACATGGAAGGAAGTCAATGCTAGGGAAGAGACTGGCTTCCCTGAAGGGGAAGCGATCATCAGGCAGCTTCTATGTTTCCTCGGGTGAAGCTCAGCCTTGCAAACACGATCTGTGGCACCAAACGTCCCTTCCAGTCAGATATAACTAATTATAATAGATTTCTACAATATGAGATATCCATGATCCACCTGACACCTTTGGTTGACTGATGAGGTTCAAATGACCCTTCAGCTGTGTTGCATTTTGTCACTTACACCTTCAGCTCCTGTTGAGATAGCAGGTCTGCTGTCCATGCTCTGACACTGTCTCAACCTGCTGGGATTGCTGCTTCTGCAAGATACTCCTGTTTGAAATAGGTGTCCCCTATCTCCCTTCTTCTTGGTGTTTAAAGAAGTTCTCCATGCCCTCTCTTGGGAAGATGTTCATTTGGCACAGCTTAATAAAATAAGGTGACCAGCTGAAATAGTGCCAGCAAGCTAGACTGCCTTCCATCAGCAGGAATGCACAGGACAGCATCTGTAAGAAGTGATTCAGTATTGTTCTGCTCTTATTTGTTTCAGAATTTCTACAGGGCTTCCAGTGAAACTGAGAAGCATGTTAGCAGGCTGGGTTCAGCTTTTTGTTCAACACTGTATCAGCAGATGGGAACTTCTGCCTCGCTGATGTGTTTTGTCATGTAGCAGTGCTAAATACAGACTCTAATGGCTTTATTAATAGCAGCCCTATTATTTTAACATGATGTTCCACCAACTCCTTGGACTGGGGACAATAGGAAATGACACTTACATGTTTAAATCTGCGGCACACTGTGAACTGTTTGAATCTGCATGATTCATTGTCAGACACTGTTATGTCAAGCACTGCAGGCAAAAGAAAATAGTCTGTGTATGCATGATCTATATATGTTCTACACGTAAGCCATATGAAATGCACCCTGCCCTCCTGTTGATTGAAGAAGCCATAAATGAGCTCTGCCTATCCTTTAGGACATTCTTGGTAGGATCTTGGGAATTGCCAGCCTGGTACTTCTAACTGTGACCTCAGACAGTGCTGGGAGCACTCTTTGCTTGTCTGCATGCACATGGAGGATGGGAGGCTGGCTGCTGGAAAGAAATGGTTTTTGGTATGTCCTAGAAGAGATCAATCGAGTTCTAAATCCAGCCCACACGTCATCAAGACCAAAAAGCTGGGGATTTTTTTTTTTTTTTTTTTCCACATTGACAATTAGTAGTTTTGCTTTGAGAAATCTGGGAAGCTCTGGAAGTTTGAGACTTGCACTGTTCATGTTTCCCTCAGCATCTGCCATTGGCTGATCAGTGTTCAGAGTTTTCATTTTTCTTTTCCTCTCTCCCCTAAGGCCTGTTTGATTTGCAGCATCGTTCCCACTATTTATGGTCATTGAATTGAAGAGAAAATCTGACACTTGAAAAATTGTACTCTGAAACCTCTACTCTTCACACCAAAGTAAGCATTCCCGAAGCTGACATGCCCTGGAAGTTGTGGCTCACAATACAGATGGATAAATGTAAGACTTCTTCCATGACATTTGCTTTATTCAAACTGCATCTCCAGTCTGTAACAGAAATGTCCTAAGAACATGGCTGTAATACTTCCTTCAGTATCTGTACCCCACATAGAAAAGACTCTTTCTCCGACAGTCTGTCCCTGGAGGAGGCTGAAGCAGAGACTGACTACGCTGCTGAGAACACTCCTTTGAAAGACTGAAATCCCTCATATCCAAATTAGGGTTTCTTCAAAAGCCAAACAATGCTTGTGAACTAGAACAAAGCAGATCTGATAAAACTTTTCAGCATGTTCCCCAGTAATTCCCAGCCTGGCAACGTGCTTCATCTCTATGACTATTAAAATGTCTCCTTCTCTGCTCATTGCTTTCAGTATGAAATCAGACCTTACATACAGTACCTCTTTTTGTACTTGTCTGCAGAAAATAATTCTCAATTTACATTCATATGACAGTTTTAGGCACTGGTTTGAAGAGGAGTCCATTTGTCTGAAAGCCGTGATTAAAATCACTGCCTTTTCCCCATCTCTCAAAGGCAGACAGCTTTCTGCTCTGAGCACCTTGCTTTATCACCACTTAATACAGCTTTTCTCTTCTCCAAGCCCCGCTTCTGAAATTGGGTCCAACCTGAAGGCATCACCTCTTGGGGTGCCCAAGCCTCCTTCCTGCCAAAAGCACAACCTTTCCTTTGCCTTCTGAGCACCAGGTGGACTCTGTATCTTCAGTTTTTCCTCTACCTCAGACAAAGAAAGGAGAAAAAAAAAAAAAAAAAAAAAAAATCACACTCCACATGCCAAGGCAGGGGCTGGTTCATTCTAACGTGATCCATCCCATTTATTTTATAGCACTTTAATGCCTCTCTTGGTTGTCTCGCTACACAGACTTCAGGCAGAGCGGAGCCACGTTACTTAGCAACTCGTAGTACACATGACAAAATTAACCCAAACAGTTCTGTTTATTAACTCTTAACAAGGAGCAAACAAAACAGCAACAAGAGGGTTTCACAATAAGTATGCTTTCCATTCTGGGCACGTTACTAATATTACGGATGACAATGCTATCTTGGATGTTCTGTGAGTTTGGTCTTTAGCCCTTTTGTGAAGCCCTATTTGAAGCACAAAAGTCTCTCCCACCCAGCCCTCCCTGTGTCTGATGCTTTTATAATGGAAAAAATACAGATATTAATAGAAAATTAAAAGGCAACTGGAGATAAGCTCTAGCTTATGCCTGTTTTGTCCTGTGAAGCCCAGGTCTGGAGGCATTGATGTGAATACTATTGTGAGTCCCCTCCAAGAGTTGGGGTGAATTGCAAGGGTGAGGTTTTCAGTGTTGTGATTTAGACCAAGTTCTTCAGAAAATCTGGCTGTGGGTTACATCCCCCATTCGCCAACCTTTGAAGTAGGCTTAATTTGGGGAAAAAAAAAAAAAAAAAGTGTTTAAGTGACCAAGTAAATCACAATGGCTTCAGCAACTACTGAGCACCTGAAGATCTGACCTCTCAGGAGGTGTGAGCAAGATCTGTGCTAAATGTCACTTGTGGAATATGTTGGTTTATGTTCATTGTAAAAAGGAAAAAAAAAAAAAGATTTTTTTTGTGTCATTTTATATTGGTACAGTATCTGCCATTGGGTTGTTTTTTTTTTTTTAAAGATTTGAATTTGCTTTTCAAAAACATGAAAGCTGCCAAGTTTTACTAAAGGAGAAGAGCCTGCTGCCTTGCTGTCCCAGGGGATTTGGATGAAAGGCTCCTGCCAAGAATTTCAGCCTTAGGAGAGACTTCTGCAAGATATTTCCAGATACGAAACCCTTTTCCTGCTGTGCTGCTGAGCCCTCCCTGCCCAACGTTTCATGGTGACTGCTGATAATGAGAGCGCAAAGGCCTCCCTTCCCAGCCATTAACTACCACAGCTGATCCAGGCAGTGCTTTCCGGCTTTTATGGAGAAGAATGAGTGACTTGTGCGTTCTTGTGAGAAACTATTTAGGCACCAGATCCAGCACCTATAGGTTTTTATGGAAACAGAATGTAGATTCTTATCAGCCTCCATTTATTTTGCAAGTAATGACAAATGAATTCCTTAGAAACTCACTCCTGGCAATCCCAGAGCACAGAAGTGTGTGGCTTTGAAAATGCTTCAAGGCATGGTGGTCAGAGGCACGTACTCTGAGGGCTGTGCTCTGCCTGATGCCAGCTGCAGGAGGTGTTGCCAGGATGCTAGAGGAGGGAATGAGAGTGTGATGGATGGGGAAGGACCACCACACTGATCAGGCTTCTTGATAGTTGATATATGCTGGGAGGTGTGGGCTGGAAGGATACTCAGTGCGGGCTGGTGTAAGTAGTTAGATTTTCAGAGCCTGATAAGATTGCTTATCTTATCTAGGCCATCTTCTGTCTAATGTAGGAATTTTTCCTTTTTGTACATTTTCCAATATGTTAAAGCTCACTGGATGTAAGCATTTCCCGTAGGAAGTCCTTCACAAGTGACTTGCTTTCCCTGCCAGGAGCTCTTGCAGTCTGCAACTAGAGCCCTGCAGGCAGATCTTCTCGATAGGAAAAGATAAGTAGGTTCCAATATATAGGGGATTCCTGCTGAAACTGGCCTGCAGCCTTGCTCACCTCGCACCCAGCATTCTGGCAAATACCTTCCAAGACTCCCTGAGCAAATGTGTCCCTTTTCATCAGCACTGAGTGCGGAGGGGAAACAGTCAATCCAGGAAGGCACAAAGCAGTAAGTCAATCTACTTATACTTAACAAGAGTAAGACACCTTGCCCTACTGCAGTGCCTGCTCACATCCATTTACTATATGACCTATGGGCTCTTCATGCTCTGCTCCAGCCATTTCTGTGCATCCCCTTATAACCCTGCTACTAGGGGCTGTGAGATCGCAGGCACAATAAAACAGCTTCTAATAAAGGTTTATACAATTCAAGTCTCTCCTGGCTTGAAAAGCAGCTGTAGTCTCAGCTCAGAAAGACAGTGGCAAGTTTGTGCTCTCTCATTAAACCTATCTTGTGAACTTTGTGTAGAGCATGGATGTTCATGCCACCCAGGGCCCCTTAATGCTCTGCTCGTTGCAGAACTCATTCAGGTGAAAAGTCCTACATCAGTTAGAACTATTCCCCTGAGAGGCTGGGTAGATTATTCTCCTCCACCCCTTTCCCCTCTTTTCCTCTCTTTGTTCCAGGGCACTGGTCAGCCCCTGGCTCACCACCCTCGCACACGTGCATGCACAACCAGGCCAAGAAAGGAAATGAATCATTTGTAATGGGTGATCACGACTGTAGGATTCTTATCTTGAACATGAACGTGCAAATCTTCAGGAGCTACACAGAGCCTGGCAGAGCAAAAGAAACCTTGGCCAGCTTAGGGATTTGAAAATAAGATTTTCTGGGGGGGTCAGAGACAAGTATGGTTTCTTATTCATCAGGATCTTCTTCACAAAAAAAAAAAAAAAAAAAAAAAAAAAGCCAAATAACCTGTAATATCAACCATTTCAACTACAAAATATGCACGTTGGGAACAGGAAGGTGGGAAAATCCCTACCAGATCAGGAGCTCCAGGCAGGATATTCTCTGTGCTGTGGGCTTCAGGGGTCTTTCAGCTTCCCAAAGGCTGCAGCCATTGTATCAAATTGGATTACATGGAGAAGAATTCCTGATCTCAATGTCATTTGGCTGTGGTTGATGCCTACAAGTCAATGCTATGTAGACAACGCTCTGAAAATCCTACAGGTCCTCTGAGAACTTAGAGCTTCTCAAGGCAAAATTAATTAAGAAGTAATGAACTGAGCTTTTGATACCACAGTAGAAGTGTTGCTGGAGGCGCAAACACTAAGAGAAGGGTGCCTTCGACTGATTTTTAATTAGAATTTAATAGTGCCCTGAAGTTACATCTCTCATTATATATAAAAAAAAGCTTACCTAGTTCTATGTGATGAACAACTCAAATTAGATTTTAACATATGCAAATAACTGGTCTGAGAGATCTGTGTGGGAGTAATAGAGATAGGACAGGTTAAATCCTTGACCCTTCACAGTTGATTTTTCTTTAACTGATCCATCAGCCGGTTTGTTTGCAATTAAACGTTCGAATTAATGGAGTTTAAAGAAAGCCCTGGAAAGCCATGTGAAATGCAGGCACTGAGCACTTCAGCTGAGGTAAATTAACACAGCCCATTGACTTTAACTGCATTAACTACAGCACTGGAGTGTGCAGGGCTTAACTGGATGCAATGTTCCCCAGTCACGGCCAGTGCTGAGCTCCCACTTACACAGAATAGCCTCTTGCTCTCCAAGATGTCCCATTAGGTAATCAGAGCTGAGCATGTCTAAGCCTGAGGGAATCTGCCCATAAAGTCATCCAGATTGCTCAGAATAGTGCATGTCGGGGTAACTCCAAGGATGGCTTGGCCAGTGAAGTCTGTGGCCCCAAGGCATTTGCAGATATGCTGCCACTGATAGCATCAAGAAACCCTGCTGGGTCTGGCCTCAGAAGGGCTGCCAGGATAGGAGGCCAGCACAGAGCTGCAGCTCATCTTGAGTAACCAGTGCCTTCCTCTGAGCTGGAAGGAATAGGATATTTATTTATACCACGGAGATGGAAGCAATCCTCTCTTTGGCATGCTGCGCTTTTCTTCCTGTACTTCTCTCAACAGATCTCCTCTACGAGACAAACCACCATTTATGCAATGCTAAATAGTAAGATTAAATAGTGTGATTCCCCTTGAATGATCCTGCCTAGTGGAGATACCACTTTGCTGCTTTGCTGAGCTATTTTATACTGAAGGCAAAATTCCATCCTCATCTCACGATGTCTGATGGTGATGGAGCTTTCGCTCAGCTAAGCAGGAGGGAGAAGAGCTGACATGACCCGTAAAATCACACCTCCTGCTGAAAAAACAGGAGCATTTGGGTGCCTAATGTAAGTGCCACAGTCATTTTTCTTCACTGGCTGTACAAAAGCCTTGCAGTCATGAAGAATAAGTGACCTGAATTGCTTATAGATCTCTTACAGCTGTATGCTGTGGTTGTCTTTGCTCAGTATCAGCAGTGGACTGGATGCAGCCCATAAGCTCTGGTGTGCCATGCTCAGTGGTCTTGTCTCTACACTTCCCTAATCCTTAAGACTTCATTAAGCACTAGGGGAGCAATAAAAAGTGGTGCTTGTTGTGGTTTGGGCACTTTTCCTTGCTTCTTTTTAATTAAACAAGAATTTAAAGGCAGCATAGAAAGGCCATGCCAAGAAACTCTACTCTTCTTTACCAGTTCTGTGTTACTTAAGCACTGATTCTGCAACTACTCAAAAGCAAGTTTGCATTTTCTCTTCAAAGAGACCATGGTCTGTTGAGAAGGTTTCTCTTTACGTTCAGGA